CTGGAGAAATTTAATATATCAAAACATGTACCTGACCCCAAAACCTCCTTAATAAAACCCTTCTGTATATTTTTCAGTTTTTCAGCAAAGTCCACCAGTTCAAATTCTTTGATATGGCCATCTGTCATAATTAGGCTGAAACATGTCTCGTAATAGTTGTATAACATTGTCTCCTCTCCTCTCCTTTATCAAATTCTACTTCCGATCTCAGTGTGAAGCCAAAGAAACTTCCTTGATTTCTGTGGAATAATGTTTGGTTGGGATTTTTTTAATCCGAAAGCAAAATTTATCTTACTGGCTTTTTCATATGTGGATAATTTCCAAGCCTTTTTTCTTTTTAAGTACAAAAACCTCCTACATTTTGTGGCCTCAAAAGTCTTTACCCTAAGACACTCTTTTATACACATAGTGCTATCGGGTCCTTTCTGCATCGTCTTCAGTGTTTTGTTGTTTTTCTCTTTCACACCATTTCCTGAATTCTTTTGCTTTGAACCCATTCCAGAACTGGTATTCACTGCTTCCTTTCTATTCACAGGGTAAGATAAAGCCATCATTAGCTGTGTTCCTGTTCTGCGTCTCCATTGCTAGCAACGAAGCACAACTGCTTGGCTCACTCTTGAGCCAACTGTATATTTTTAGTTTTAAAAAAGTAGAATCTGCGCTACTACAGTGTAGGCACACTGCAAAACGTCAGGATGACCTGCAGAGTTACAATTATGCCGATCCAATTACATCTCACTAACTAAAGCTGGTTTCCAGGTGCTCGGCTCACAGGCTGGAAATCTGGGCTCAGAGGAAGCTGGTGGAAGTTTCGGCACTGACTGCAGTGGGGTTGGGACTTCATCTGAAATGCTGGCTTGCAGTCACCCTTGGTGGACCTTTCTAGTCAGCTGTGCTTTTGTTTCCACTTGGTCTGTGGGGTATATGACAGGAAGAACGCCGCCATAAGCTAGACATTGTAGAAGTCAATCAACTTCAGACTGGGTGACGTACTTGTAAGTCCTTTTACACTGATTCCTTTCATGCTGACTCCTGACTGCAATGATTTCTAGGGTATTAACATTATTGTTTTTCTTTGAGATGTGCAGATAAAATGCACTCTGATGACAGTCTGCTAACTATAATCCATTTATATAGTGATCACACAGGGAATAGGAATCATTTAAAAAGTCAGAAACAGTGCGTTTTAGCTGTTAAAGAATCTTTCATTTTAGAATTTGAGGAGACTTCATTGTGTTATTAAGGCAGTAGAACTTTTACTAAATTATGGTTTTTATGAAGAAATAAGCATTTGTTTTTCAAAACCTTGGTCAGTTTAGTTCTCATTTTGTACTATAGTTAATATTCTTACTTGAATGGTAAATGTTATCTTCTTTTCCATTTAAAAGTTTTAAACTCTGTTTTATCTCTGAAATCTCCATCTGAGTCATGGCTGATATATGTTTCCCTAGATACACTCATTTTAAGTTCAGAAGCAGTTGTTCACAAATTGTATCAAACTGTAAACAGATATTCAAAAGACAGATTTCTCAGGGATGGCCTGAGAAGTAATTTCAACTTTTCTGACGGTATTGAAACTGATTTATATATTATGTATATATGAAAGACTTTTTTCTCTAGATCTGCATACACGTATGCACAGAGTGTGTTTGCATAGGCACACACACAAACACCACACACACGATTATAATTTATCACCAGGTATATGTCCACTGTGTCCTCCACTTTATAGCAATTTGAAAAAAACATTTTTCCTTTTTTGTCTCCTCCTCTATGCAGAGAGGCAGCCGTGTAACCCCTGTAAAAAAATTTTTTTACCAACACATGAATATGTGTGCTCTGAAAATGCAGTAATGTGAAAAATAGTACCTCTGTAGTTTGCAAAATTTTATATAGGCAGTAGGATTGCCATTCATCCGGATTTTTGACTGAAAAGCTAGACATTATACAAAGAAATTCCTATAGCAAAAAGCAGAATCAGGTCTCTATGGCTTTCACTCCTGTAGAAAGAAATGAAGAAACTGTGAAAAGTTTGCTTTTCAATAGGTTCAAGTTTCAAACGAGCCATGAATAAACAACTTTAGCCCTAAAATACAGTGGAATTGTGTTTAAGTAACAAGGGCTGTACCATCTTCATGTATATGTGGGTTGAGTGTGTTGTGATCTTATTCGTTTTATCATTTAAAGTTTTTGTTATTAATATTTAACTGATATTTCTGTATAGCCATGCTATATCACATACTTTTCCAGTAAGCCTACATTGTGTCAATTTATTTATTAACATGATCTTTTCATTACCACTTTTTTAAAAAAATTAGTGTTTTCTTCTTTTTCCTTCCTTGTCTCTGTCAAATCACAATATTGAGTGGCGGCTATTGCTGAGTTAAATTCAGTGCAAGTCTCCGAACTCTCATAGGGACAATTTTGTGAAAAGTTAAATATTTTCAATGACTTAACTTTTTGTGAGAAAGAAGAAAAAAAAAAAAAAAGGACTGACAACTATTTCAGGTTATTTGTCCATCTCTCATAAGTGTTTTATGAAAATGGCAAAGTGATGCAGAATGCTCCCAACCATGGTATATCTGATACTTGAAAGAAAGGCCTCTGAACACATCCTACATTCCAAGAATTGTCTGAGCATGAAATGTTCCCATTTTATATTTTAATAAAACCTTTCTTCAAAAGGAAAATGAAGATGAATGTTCCTTTGTAATTCAAGTGTTAGTATTACACATAAACCTGGATCCGTCTCATCTCACTTTACATGGCTGAGAAATCTAAGTTACGAGTCCTCTTCATCTTTCTTTAATCAATGAAGAGAGGTAAGGTTTTGGTTCATTGTTTCTGAAGGAAATTTGGGCAATTAGGATACTAACTTAGGCACTTTGTGTAAGTCACTGAAATGTCAACGGATGGATCTGAATTGCCTTGCTTATATGACAGACCTTCACCCTAAAGTGAGCTCACAGCTATAGAGATGCTCCTCATTACTAAGGCTTTTTGTACTTTTGATCAGAAAGATTTACTGTTCAATCTGTGAACCTGAGTCAGGTGGACCTTGATGATGTTGCTTGTCACAGCTGCTACTTCAGCACTGCTCTTTCCTTCTTTTTCTTAAGGATCAATCAAATTACATTCGATCCAAAACCATAATAACTTGGAAAGCAAGTCCTTTGCAGTCACCAGGCTGCAAACAGCCAGGATGCTGAAAGGCATTCCTTTTCGTCCTGGATTTTTTAAGTCACATTTTCTCTCTTTTTCAGTCAGAGATAGAGGTCCTTATGTCCACTTTTATTATGCAGTGAATGCATGATGTTCAGCATTACAAGGCTAGACAGAAAAGCTGGCTAGGTCTACCTGTTAGACCCTCATTCTTTTTCCCTTGGAATTGGCTCTTCACAAACTCACTACTAATTACTAAATGTTATGAAGTACTAAGTGATCCAACCAATAGGGTTTCTGGAAAATCAAGACCACAATAGCGCAGTACCTCATTGGTGTGCTTTTTTCACAAAATTTAACAAAAGAGCAGTTGGTTTATTAAAAATATTTTACCTTAGAATTATATGGCAATAGAAAGTCTTGAAGAACCTCCTCTAGCTAATGACTGGTGAAGAGAAAGAATCTTATTTTTTTGAGTGGTAGAGTGTAAACTGTCCAGTTATGAACACCTTAAGTTGTTTGGATTTCAGGGGTTTTAATTAAGAAAATAAGCTGTATTCAGGTTTAGGAGGTTAAAACAATGCAAGATGTTCTTTGTGAGTCTAAAATCAGGCAGAGAATGATTTCTTTCTCTGCCAGGCTAAATCCAGATTTTATAAACATAAGAAAAAAGTTAGAGCTGTTATTTCAGATTGAAATTGTCTATTCTGAATGTCAAGAGAGGTTTTCTGGCCCAAATGTTTTGAATGCTTTATTGAAGAAAGTGTAAACTTAGTACTATAGTTGCAATTACTTATGTAGGCTTGAATTCACCTAGACTTTCTGACTATTGATTTTGAAAGACTTAACACAAATGTATTAGGAAACCTATTTTTTGACAGTCACACTGTTTAAAAACCCTCAACTGGTATGCATGGCTGAAAAAAAAGCTTGAGAAACACATCCTTAGCAACCTAAAAAATACTGGAGGAAATAACAACAAGCATCTTTGGAATAGGAGCATTTTCAGAAAGTGAATATGCAGGCATTTCCTTCATAACACTGCCTGAAAAACATCTACAAAAATACAGAATAGAATAGCATACACAAAAAAATGCTGCCTTTAACAGAAGAATTCAGTGAAGTGTCCTGATTTTTTTTTTTGTGTGTGTTAACAGGTTTCTTCTTTGGTCTCATAATAAGCATTCTCAAACCATGTAGAAATTCTGGTGATTTTAGATGTGTAGAATTAGCCACTGGTTCCCCTTTGACAACACAGATCACAGTGGCTTACCTCAGTGGAGGAAACTGGGAGCCTGATAAACTTGTGAGCTGCGGCCTTGGCTGCCATACATTCCCTCCTTTTCTGGTACCTTTTCTATTACCTGAAGATAGGAAGAGGTGCTACTAGAGGTTCACTCTCTAATTCCAAGATATAGAAGAGTTTGCGAATATCTCCTTGGAACAATTCCCAAGTTTTATGAAGAAAATGTAAAAGGAAGTTGATGGGAAATTCGTCACAGATTGACTCCCTTAGAGCTTCTTGCTCCGCACAGGATGCTGGATTGAAACAGGGTTTTACTCCCAATGATTTTGTAGATTCCCTTGTTTAATTTTGTAGCAGGTGGTTTATAGAACTGAGGTATTTTTAAAAAATCCCTTTAAAAGTACATGATTAATGTAATGATTTAATGTAAATGGTGCTGGTAGGACTTCCAAGCTGTATGAAGATGAAATTTCTCTACATGCCTGCAATGCATGGATTGTGTCTTGTTGCACTGAGAAGGGCAGAGTTTTTAATTTGGATGATAGATGACTTATGGTAACTTTCATTTTTTGTTTTGTTTGATTTTTTTCAGCTTTCGTTTGCAGCAACAACCCCAGAGCTGGCTGATAAGAAAAAATATCCTTATTTCTTCCGGACAGTGCCATCTGATAATGCAGTGAATCCAGCCATTTTGAAGTTACTCAAACATTATCACTGGAAGAGAGTAGGAACTTTAACCCAGGATGTACAAAGGTTTTCTGAGGTAAGATTTCCTTAATTTCCAGTACAAAAAGAGAGCTACTAATAGACTTCCAAGGAGCTAGTTCCTCCATTAACAGCAATTAAGTAAAAAGAAACAGACCTACTGTTTCAGTCTTATTTGGCTTTGTCTTACTAGGTCACAATTTGATGTACTGAATAAACTTAATCCCATTCTGGGGCTTATTTGACCGTCTATAGTAAAAACTGCCCATGCTTACCTTTGACGGTTTTTTGCACTACGATCATTGTACCCAAGTGCAAAAACCCCCAATTTTTTTTGTAGCAAAGGGTCCTTTATACTGTTTGACTTGCCAAAGTGTATGATTTTGAAGGAGGCTTGTATCCTGACATTGGTTCACTTAGAAGAGGGAAGAAATCTAATTTCACTGTGTTCCTTTTGTGCTCTGATTTATTATAAGCATCAGTCTGATCAGTCTGAACACTGAGGGACAAATCTGGTAAGTTTATGTCTGAAAATATGAGACAGAAATGACCGAAGCCCCCAGAACCGAGAAGATCGCATACTGTGCGCTCTCGAAATCTTGTGAGTTTCACCCTGAGCAACATTTGGGCCATAGAAATTCCAATAAAGTATCAGCCAAATGCCTTAAGCATGGTTTTAACAACAGAGTACTTACAGAGAGGCAAAACTGATAGAGGCATGCCAGTTTTGTGGGGTTTTTTTGTTTTGGTTTGGTTTTTTTCTGCTTCCTCAGCATTCATCAAAAAAAAGGCTGACTGTGTTCTGAAGATTAGCATAATTAAAACTAGTGAAGGTGGGTAAGAACAGGTTAGAGTCAGATGAGACAGATATTTTCAAATTGTCTGGCACAATTAATTCACTGTGGAATACTTAAGAAATCTTAGTCTTCCCTTATGACTACTTAAGAAATCTTAGAGTCCTCCTTTATGAACTATGAGAATTAAAGTATAAAAAGTAAGTGAATTGTAGGGGAAAGGAAGAAATCTTTGTGTCTGTCTTTCCAAAAACCACATAAAGAACCAGGGAATTATAGACCAGTTAAGCTAAATTTAATTCCTGGATAGACACTTGAGCAGGTAATCTGTTTGGAATCACTCAGAATATAAAAAGATGCTAAACAATGGACAAAATGGATTTGATCATAATAAATCAGGTAAAGCAGTCTAATTTCCCTCTGTGACAAGATAACAGGTCTCAGGGAGATGGGGTAGGTGAGAAGTGTGATGTTTTATGACTTATAAACATGATCAAGGTGTTCCTAAAGTGGGAAAACCTGATCTTGAGGAAGATACTGTAAGAGCAGTCTAACCAATATTCCTGCCACGAAGGTTAATTGACATCAGATCAGTTAATATTTGTTTTTAAAACAAATGCTGAAGCAAAAGGTCACCAATAAATACGATATGCTTTATCCTTCTCTGGCTTGGAATTAAAATTTCAAAGAGTAGTTATTGGTGGTTCACTGTCAAACAAGAAGGATGGGATTCTGTCAAGTGGTTTTCTCTAGAAAGAGATAAGATTTTCTCTAGATAGTGGATAGAGAAAATGTTTATTAAATCTGCAGTTGATACCGACTTGGGAAAAGCTGCAAGCACTTTGTAGAGGACAAGATTAGGTTTCAGAATGATCTTGACAAGAAGAAAAAGGTTTTAATATAAATATTATGCACATGAAAAAGTGCAAAATGGCTACCTAGGCAGCACATCTCCAGAGAAACATGTAAGAAGCATTACAATGAATGACAAACCAGGTAAGGGTTAAGAAGATCAAACTGCTTGACCTACTGTAAAAAGCAGAAGGAAAGCAAACAGCTTTCATTTCACCACCCCCAAAGTAATGCAATACTGACACACAGAGTAAACTTCAACACTACTTAGTGCTCATTAGGTCTAAGCTGGAACATCAGGTCTAGCATCGTCTTCAAGAAGTAGGTCAGAGACGTCTATGAAAAAGTTCAGTACTCTGGAAACATGTTTTAGGAAAAAGATTAAGAGTGGAAAAGAGTAGAATAGAATGAGTTGTTGCACCTTCATCGTGGAGGGTTTGTAAGATAAGACTAAACAAACACAACACAGGGATTCTTGGTCTTCCTTTGGGACAGAGAGATGGACTTCATATCTGTCAGGGTCGCTTAAGAAATGTTAAAACTGCAGCTTTCAAGGGTTTCCTGGAGTGCTGCACTTGAGTTCAAAGGCTTTCTGTTCCTCTTGAAAGGTAAGAAACAACATTGTGTGTCAGACTGCAAACTCAATTTAGTGTGATTCATTAAAGCTTTCGGGTAATGAAAGATCCAATCAAAACTTCCTTGAATTTAGGTGATTTTTATACAGTATGTCAAGTCCTGAATCTTCGAAATTACTAGAACTCCATCCTTCCTTTTTCAGCTCTGTGCAGAGTTTCTTCCTTTCTTGTGCAGGCAGTGAAAGCATAGGAAAAGCTGGAGGAAATAACTGCTTGGCTGACCAGGAGCAGGGAGGGATGGGAGTCACCAGCAGCAGAGGGGGAGAATATGCGATGGCCGCACAGAGCCCAGCCCTACTGCAAGGGAGGAGGGCAGGCCCAGAGGTCGAGGCCAGGCTCAGCCAAGGCTGCAGACCATCAGGCAAGTAAGTTCATAACAAGGAGGCAGGTCCAAGGCCAAGCTTGGAAGTCAGTCTGCAGGTCAGGGTCAGGTCTAGTGGTTGCTGGGCAGGTCCATGGCAGAGACTGAAGACACAGGACTAAAGGTGTGGGTGGTGGTCCCAGAGGAGGGACCGTTAAGGCCTGTTAGTGATCTCCAGGTGCTGGAAGTTCGTAAGTAGAGAGAGTGGAGAAGTTTACGCTACCATGCTTTCAGTTCTTGAAGCACATGGGCAATATCTAAGCATCTGATACTATTAGTGTGGTTTGAGGCTTCGTTTCTTGGCATTGTTTGCATCCCAAGGATTATGACTTTTCAAGTGACCTGAATTCTATGGTTGCCAGTAGGACAGTTCACTAGTAGTATCCTTTGTAAGTTATTCAGGTCTGTTTGTACAAGCAGAAGTGTCTCTTCCATTGGATTAATCTTTAAATGGTGTAAGATGTCTTGGTATAAGGGTAATATACAAACTTCATCAACTTAACTAGGACAAGTTTATACCCATTGTGCTACTGTGTCCTAGATTTTGTGGACTGCTGCCCTGTTCTCGTCCTCTGGGAGAAGATTCTGTTTCAAAAGTTAATAATTCTGTGGCAAAGGTTTATAAATGAAGTTACAAAATATTTTCAGGATTTTCAGCTATAAGTGTTTGCTTTGGCATATAATCATAGGATAATTTAGGTTGGAAGAGACCTTGGAAGGTTGTCTGGTCCAACCTGCTGCTCAAAGCAAGGCTAGCTTTAGTATTTACCATCCCTCAAGAATTATAGCAGTTGCACACACAGTTCTCAGAAAAGTCCTGATCCTGTCTGCCTTCTAATTCCCAGGGGAGTTTTCAGCTCGCTGCATATTCTCAGAATGGAGAATATGCAGCAATTGATGCCTCCAATTTTGTTGCAGTCTAGCACTACCTTTTTGAGATTATATCTTGAATTAGGCAAACCAAACAATATTCCTGTGGTCTGTGTTTTCTGTGTTTCATGTTTCAGTGTGAAGAGTCATGAAAATTAAATCATACTTGGCTATCAATAACTCAAAAGTATCGGAAGCCACCAGTACTGTAGAAGATGTAAAGGCTTCAGAACATGGCAGTGAAACAGAAAAATGTGTTATCATGTACTGGTTTGCAGATAATGCTGTATTTGCTGTCAGTAATTCTAGTTTATCTTACTTCAGTATTTTACTGTTCTTCCCTGCATATTGGTCATTTTATTTATACACCTTGTTTTGGTTCATAGTATGTTTCAAAATTGATTGCACTAAGAGGGATTCTGGCTTCCTTGTTTTGCGATAGGACACTTCCTTCAGACTGCTTTCAGTTGTTTTTTGGTTCCTTGTCATGTTAAAATTCAGTGAAACTGCATTTTAGCTTCAAATTTGGTAGCATATTCATGATATTTCTAGATTTTTGAAAATACTTATTTCCCTCCCACTGAGTATGTTGACTGGGATTGTTTTTAAAATCAGTTAAATTCTAATCGTCTCAAGTGACTTTCTGTTTTTCTCTACTTCTTAATACTCATCTCTTTATTTGATTTCTCTACTCCTTCTTGGAAATACTGAGAACTCCTAATGTAATTTTGTCAGTGTAGGTGGCATTTCAAAAAGACAGAAGAAATGAGAAGTATGGAGTAAGCTAATGAAAAAGATTAACAATATGAAAAATAAAAGAGAAGATATTTTCTCTAATGGCTCTATCACAATCTTCATTGAGTTTAATAACCTAAAAATACATTGGTGACAAAAACTAAAGAGAAACTTCTCCTGTAAGTGGACAAAATAGTGCTTTTTTTCACTGGTATAATTAACACACTTAGGATTTCTTAAGGTTTTTCTGCATTTTGCACAGTGACATCGGCTTCAAAAACGAGCAGATCGTCAGGGTCCATTTTACCTAAACTGGAAGCATTTAGTATCCATAAATGCCAATTGTCATCCCAGGAAATGTAATACTGGAAAAAAGAAAAACATTCGAAAGAAAAGCAGCTAGTAAACAAGCCTTCTCAATGTAGTATATGTCTATATTCCTGTAGAAAAAGCAAGGTGTAGAAGTCTTATTACTCTAGAAGTTTATTTATTGTAGCCTCGCTCTCTCACTGGGGAGTCTGCAAACTAGGATCTGAGTTTAGTGCTCAGTTGTGATAAGAATTCATTGGATAAACAGATACAATGAGCAAGTTGCTGAGGGGCTGAGAGGGGTTAGGCAGGGAAGAGAAACGAGATATCTGATGACCTTTCAAATTTCAGCCAGAAAACAAGCTCAAGACACCAGTTTTTGGTGGATGTAGGTATAGATTGTGCAGACTTCAAGGTGCGATTGCACTTTTTGACTTCTAAGGCTTGGCTTCTATGGAAAGACAGAGGAGCAGAGATTTCCACTCTCCATCACAGTTGCCAA